AGCCCAAAGGAAAATAGACGAAGACCAAACAAACGAAAGTCGCATCTGCATGTGAATGGCGCAGACAAAGACAAAGCGAAACTGATTATGATGGTGATTTGAACGATGCTGATGAAGATGCACCTGCATGCAGGGAACGAAGCTGAATCAAAGAGCGCTTAGGTGCAAAGCCAAACCGAGGAGCCCTCAAGATGATTGCGATTCGAACAACATGGATGAAGTCGCACTTGCGTGAAGGGAACAAAGCCGAACTGATGAGCAAACTATCGAAGACGAGGCATGTATGGCTCTGATACCATGTGAAGGATAATAACTCTCTCATATTACCCAATTGAAAATATATGTTACATATTTAGATGCACTCCAATCTCTATAGACATCTCTACTACAAGAAAGATCTGCAATTAGATCTCGTTTGATTAGGTTACATAATATAGAAAATATATTTATTAGATATTCTATAATTAAACTATTTATCATCACACTTCCTAATATGCAACCATTAGATTTATTACTTTTCTTCACAAATATTAACAAACTTCACGGAGTTATTAGCCACGAACAATGTTATTGAACTTGACGAAACATCTTAAAATGACCTTGATGAAATGTTTCAGTTATGTTATTATGTTTATATATATATATATATATATATGATTTTGTTTTATCTAAATCAATAAAGGAACATTTTAAATATTTCAATGACTTGCAAAAAATAATTTGTTGGTAATTTTGGCACTAGAAGTCAAATTATTTCAAACCGAAATTTGATTTTTAGAACACAATATTGTTTGAATTACTATTATTTCAATTTATAGAAGCATAGAATTCATTTCTAAATTTCTGGATGAAATTCAATATCTCCGTCAATTACAGAGATTTCTAGGTTTGTTAAATTATGTAACGGATTATTATGACGATATAACTTTAGATGTTGTCATTCTTTATAATCGGTTAAAGAGGTAACATAATCCTTTAACAGAATATCACACTAAAATTGTTCAACTATTTAAACAAAAAATATAAATTTATCTTATTTACATATTGTAGATCTGTCTCTTTAAAATATTGGAGACTGATGCCTCTAATATTGGTTGCGACAGAAACTTAAAACAAGAAACTTTTAATAACGAACAATTAGTTTGTTTTACCTCAAGAAAGTAGAATATCACAGAAGGAAAATATTCGACTATCAGGAAAGAAATACTTTCGGTAATCAAATGTATTACAAAATTTCAAGATGATTTATTAAACACAATTGTTATTACGGGTTGGCTGCAGTTCTATAAAAATATAAACTGCATAAAAATGTTAAAAAAAATATTGTTTTTAGGCAAATATTTGTCGGATGGCAAGCTCAATTCACCTGTTTTGAATTTGATATTGAACATATTAAAGGAAATTCTAATTATTTATATGATTTTCGCACTCGAAAGTTCTTACGGGGAGAAAAACAATGAGGGATAGAGTACCCCTTGCCCGAGAGTTAAAATAACACCCTAACGGGGTGGGTCCTCTTTTAGAGAGGGCAGAGGCAGGGGTCAACCTAATTTGACTCCACACAAATTTATTAATTTACAGAAATATCTGTACGGAAGCCTAATAACATCCACATCTACATCGGGACCTCAATCTCCCGATTTACAAATTCAAAAAGTTGACGAGTTTATGCAAAAAAATCTTCTAAAGAGAATTCTCGAAATAAATTTAGAAGATTATGATATTAGTGATCCCTGGAAAATCCAAGAACACTATCTTGGGACAAATGTCTATCCTCAAGATACTATTGACTGTGAATCTTATGAAGTAATATTAACTTCATTAAACTGTGTTGAAATTCAACAAAATTTTAATAAACCCAATTATTCTATTGCATATAGTAAAATAAAAATTAATCGCATACTACATCACAAGGAATGAGGTTTAACTCCTTACCATACCAAACAAGTTGAAATTGAACAACTAATATCTCATCAAAAAAATTAATCTACTATAAATATATTGCATATAGTAAAATAAAAATTAATCGCGTACTACATCACAAGGAATGAGGTTTAACTCTACCATACCAAACAAGTTGAAATTGAACATCTAATATCTCATCAAAAAAATTAATCTACTATAAATATTGAACTTATATTCAAGTCATGCATTGCTCTTGCTTAATCATCAATCCAAGGCATAAACATTCTTGGCTCTCCGTTTTAATATCGAAAACTTAAATAAGAAGATAACAAATTTGTTTGTAGCATGGTGGGACAAATTTGATGCTACTAATGAAATCCTTGCTGCTGCAATTGATATTCTTTACCCAACCTGGGTTGAATCCTCTCTGCCGCTCAAGAAAATATAAAATGATTTTGCTAGCGGACAACATGTGTGAATTACTCTTCTTTTGCCAGACTCAAATATCTTGGATATTCATCTGAAACTTATGTCATCAACAAGACAGTATCAATAATAAATATTAATGGAGAATATTTTTCATCAAATGGCGGTCAACAATTATTAATATCATTGCATCCAATATTTCAAATATTCAAGAACCAAAATCCCAAGAGTTTTCTTTAAAAGAAATTCACAATAAAATAAAATAAAATAAAAATATCTTTGAGAATCTCTTGAGCTGATCAAATATCGATTGCAAGAATTATATCAAAAACAAATGAAAACATTATTTAAATCAGAAAATGATATGTCAGTATCAAATCAAGGATCTGATGAAGAAAAAAATTGGTAACGAATGACGGCTCACCTAGGATCAAACTGACAGCATCGCAAGGCCAGTTGTATTTTGTGATGCTCCACCTTGATTATAACTGAAGAAAATTATTGGTAATAATTCTGGTGGTTGAAATAGTGTCGGTTATTGTACATGAGTTTGTAATAATTTCAGTAGGTTTAATAGTATTTATAATAATTACAGTTGTAATAGTCTTTGTAATAATTTTGGTTGTTGTAATAGTGTCTATAATAATTATGGTTGTTATAATAATGCTTCCCATCTTAGCTATAAATTGAGAGGCATACTGCATGTAAAAGAAAGTGAAGTTTAGTGTCTTTTCTTCCTTTGTAAAATAAGTAGCGTGCTTCCGAGAGTTCCTCCCTAGCATGGCGTCCTGTAAGTTCTTTCTTCTGTTATTAATATATTTTTGTTTTGTTTATATCCTGATTTGTTTATTGGTATAATAATTTTCTTCTGTCGTGATCTCAGTGGAGCATCACAACATACAGCTGATAAAATGGGATGAAAACACCCATTAATGATCGTGCTCAATTAAGGCACATTGCATTTCTTAAGCAAGCTAAAATTGTTTTGTTTAATCATCTTAGTGTAAGAAGTTTAAAATCAATTTGAATTAGACCTATATGAATACATTTATGATTGTCAAACTAATTATTTAAGTTTTCAGGACTTAAAAGAGAAATTGTTTTCTCATTTTCATCAAATTGTTAACAACTGTTCAACAATTTTGATTGATGATTTACCTTTGAAATCAAATGTTTCAATTTTATAGACTAGAAACTTATCCACTTTAGAAATAACTCATTTATTTAAGCCTTCTTCGTTGTAGGATATTCTTGCAGCTCTGCATTTTTAATATTATTATTTCTCGATTGAGATCTTTGGATTATGGTACTATTATATGTTGAAGAGGTGCTCATCAGAGACAACCAGCGAAACATTTAGAACTCTTTTTCGTTAAATAAATTTAACAGGGTAATCTAACTGTAACTAGATGGAAAAATTATTGCTCCACCGAGCTTTAATCCAAATGTGTCGAGTCAACAAGAACCAGACAAAACCTCATCCATCCCGAACATAACAAACACCCACATGTGACGATGGCTCGTGGATTAAGCTTAGCTAGAGCAATAATATGATCAAACCAGAAGGTAGAAATCAGTATAATCTTGCAGTCAGTCATGGATGTTGAGTTGCAGAGCAACACCGAACTTTACGATGCAGGATACATCTATCCTGATAACGTTAGGTTACCATATTAAAATTACTTGACATAAAAAAAAGCTCTAGAAAAGATTTAGCCACTTGCCCATGTTGATAGACACCTAGTTTTCGAAGAACATGCGAGAAATCTACATACAAGATCAAGCAATTCAATTTAGGAAACTTGTTTTGCTCTTATGTTATGCACTTGCTCATGTTGATAGACATCTAGTTTTGTTCTTGAGAGATCATATTTAATTATGTTATTTCATAATAGGTATATCCTATTTATTTAAGCGCTGGATGAGGCTTAATTTTTTTTCTTGGCAAATTGTCAATGTTGGTTATGATTTACACTAAAAGTTAAGGTCTTCAAATCATTTGCACTGGCTTGATTTTATGCCAAAGTCTCATTGATGTATTGTGTATATACCTGCTTATTAGTTTGTGAATGTTTAGATCCATATGTGGGCCTTTTTTTGGATGCTTGCATGACTGGTCGTGAATGCGGATGAATTTTTTTATCCTAAAGAACTATTTGGTTTTCCAGTTTTTCCATTCTAGTCTTACTATGTCATGCTATAACTGTATTAACGGACAAGAGATCACATTTTCTTGTTCGAGAAAACATATTGAAGTTGATAATTCTTTTTTATATGTTGTAAATGGAATTTTTGTGGAGGTGGAACTTAGTGGATTCCTTTATATATACTTAATGAATCTTGGCAATTGGATGGAAGTAAGTTGTATGATGAAATAAGTTCCATACTTAACATACCATTTTACATGTTAGAAATGTAGCCTGAAAATATTTTTTGTTATTTATGCAGTGCAAAAGAACTGTTTTTGGAGTCCTGTCAGGCCGTTCATCTTTGTCATCTTTTTCTTATTCAATATTAAATAATTTAAGTGCTGGTAGTTTTTCAGTTTCCGTCGGGTTTAAATAAGAAAGCCTTATTCAGTAATTAGCCATGTAATGACACACTGAATTGCTTTCATTCACACCTAAATCCTAAGACAAAACTCTGAAGATTGTGATGCATTCCCTCAGGTCTATAACGTGGCTAAATTTCTTGAAGATCATCCAGGGGGAGATGAGGTCTTGTTAGCAGTAACCGGTAACTTCAATTTTGAAACCACATATTAATTAAATTCATAATAATCCACACAACTTAATAAATGGCGCCCTTCAACGGCATCGCAGGTAAGGACGCAACTGAAGATTTTGAGGATGTAGGGCATAGCACAACTGCAAGGGCTACGATGCATGAATATTATGTTGGTGAGATTGATGTCTCCACAATCCCAACGAAGGTTAAATATATTCCTCCCAAGCAGCCTTACTACAATCAGGACAAGACGGCGGATTTCGTAATCAAGATCCTACAGTTTTTGGTTCCATTAGCAATACTGGGATTGGCTGTTATAGTGAGGATCTACACAAAAGCAGCCTAGAATCAGATGAATCTGTTGCATGCTCTTTTCTTCTGCCAGGAGGGTAATCTTTTCTTCTTACCATATGATTTTATTTCCTGCCTGATGAGGCTTGTTTCCATTGTCATATTTCATGGTGTACTTTGCTTGAAAGACTTCTTTTTAACTTTTTATTGGTAACTTTTTTTTTTTAATTGTTCTTCAAAGTTTTGTTTTGTAACTTTTTATTGGTAACTTTTTTTTTTTTTAATTGTTCTTCAAAGTTTTGTTTTGTGTTCATTTTTCTTCAGTGTGTTCTTCTAGAAAAATTATTGCATACGGACATCGCATGCAGAGATGCATGCGGTGTCCGATATACACTGTAGATCACGGTGATTTACGGTGATCATGTATTTCTGTGGGCCCCATTTTAAATTTTTTTTATTTTTTTAATGTGTTTGAATTTGAAGATACTCTTAAAATTGGATTTTTTTTTTGCTCTCATTAAACTCAAATTAAATTTGAATCAAATGAATCTAATTAAATTTTAAGCTAATTTGAGATTGGACCAAAAGGTTTAATGATCATATCGTCTGAACTTCCAGTAAGTATACTTTGTAGTATTCATGAATCCAATTGTGCGTGTGCGCATACATTGATATTAAACAGAAATTATGTCTTAGAAGATAAATATTGAATAGAGGCCATGCTAAGTGGTTAAATCTGACACGGTTTGATATTGGATTCAGCCAACGTAGGTTTTACACTGATAAAACCCTGAACAGTGTTCCCCTCGCTGCTGTTGATATCTTGGGTTATAACGTGTAACTACAGCACAGAAAATTTTTTAGGAACTTTCCCATCTAAAGTGATTTTACAATCAATTATGGAGGCTTAAGGAATATAAATTATAATATAAAGTGTCAGATTATTGTGACATGAATCAAGCAAGCTAGGCATTTGGAAAATCTTGCAAATATATACGATTAATTCATGAATCATCTGTGCTAAATCATTCCAAGGAGAATTGCTTGAGAATCAAACTTATATTTTGCTAGGAGAAGTTTCAGTTAGGCAAGCAGTTCTTGAAAATTACTCGGGAAATTCTAAAACTATTCTCGTCAAGCAATTGTTCATTTGATTCAATACTTTATGTTCTAATAGGTAGTTATTATAACCGAATTTGTTTGTGAAACTCACTCTGGTATTTTGGCATAGTAGGTTCTATTCAGCCATCATTAGGACCGTTTCCACTCGAGCAAATTTTCTAGTTTTAGTTTTCTCGTCTTGATATTTTTTTCAGTATTTATTTTAGTTATTGTATTTTTCTTTTTGAGTTTGTGTAGTCATTTCTTGTTATCATATCTATTTTAATTCATTTGATTTCTACTTTCCTTTAAGTTGTATCAATGAACAATTCAGTGAATAAAATTTATTTTTTTTTTAATTTTTTGTGCATTTAAATTTTTTTTGAGAATACAAAATAAGTTCAATTCATTTTATCGTCTCTCCGAACCCAGGGTGGCAATATTCATGGCCAATAAAAATTAATATGTACATACAGAACACACTATGTATTTAAATACCGAACACATAACTTTTAAAGGTTCCATTTTTAATATTTAACATATGAAAATGTGCCTCTAGTAATATTTTATATGTGATATTAACAATTTAAGTAATATAAAAATTAAAATTTAGGTGTTAGAAAAATAAATATATAGGAATTATGTGGTATGCACGTCAATGCCCCT